TAAACCCTTTTCAGAATCTTTTTTATCCAGGCAATTCTACAATTTTTGGGGGGGGGTGCCATATGGAACTCTTTCCGGTGTTTTAACTGTTTGTTTGTAGATAAGCGCAAAGCTACACAATGGATTATCTGTGCTCTGCCCACCAAGGGTATGGAAACCTGGTTTCTAGCACTATAAGTCCACAGACGTACTATATTAAGTGCAGCACTCTCTTCATGATTTTTTTTCCTTTCACGAATCCTTTTGTTTTTCGATCTCCTTGAACAGCCGATATAAAAATATTTTTTTCACGAATTCACCCCTGGGTATAAGGTTTCTTGTGTTGTGTTATAAATATTCTTTTCACATTAAAAGTAATGTTTTGGTTTGTAAGCTTTTAAACTTATATTTATTTTTGTACGCCTAGGTTTAAAAATTTGTTTATTCTCGTGTATTTATTACATGGAATGTAGGCATGATGTATCATTGTGTTAAAACGACATAAGGTGCATAAAATAAACTGATTTATTCATGAACACATATCCAATCCTATAACTTTTGTTGGGGATACTTGATTATACGAACTTCGGTTCAATTGTGTCTTACAGTAAATTAGGTATTTTGCTTCGCTGTTCCGGAGTTGGTCATGTTTGACAATAATTATAACAACTTAGCCACACTGATTTGCTGTCAGTTCTTTTTTCCATCAATTGTGACATGTAAGCTACATTGATCCAGAGGTAGTTCTGGCTTTCAATAATTATGACACTAGTTATGCATCTGTGGAGTCAGTTCTGTTTGACAGTAGTGTTGATACTTTCGCTAATCTGATCTAGTGTTAGTTTTGTTTTACGATAATTGGTGCATTGATCCAGAGGCGACACTTTAGCTTTACAGCTGTAAAGTAATTTCTCTTTGACGTTAATTCTGACACTTAGGTCAGTTTTATTTCACATTAATTATTTTGGCTTCATTGACACAAAAGTGGTTCTTTTTCACGTTAATTGTGATACTATACTTGTTACCTTAAAAGTAATGTTTGATTTATAATGTTATTAAAACCAGACATAATTTTATTTACTTTGCTTGATATTTCTGTACGTCTGGGTATTATATCTTGATTACATTTAAACATTAATTAAACAATTTTATATTCAATTTATGTCAATACACTTGCTATCAAAAAATGAGTTTATAAAGGGGATAATAAAAAAGGAGATAATATTTTCATATTATGAAAGTTAAAAATTTTAGTTTCAAAAGAAAATATTTAAAAAAAAATTCTCAATCTCCACTTCTCCGTATCACTTGACACTTTGCTCTAAATTGCCTATTTTAGATTTTCCCTTCTTTCTATTTCTGATATTCTAAGTTTCCCACGAACGACACACTTGTATTCCCTTGCTAAAATGTAACTTTCTTGCCTTCAAGCTTCTTTCTCTACTGAGGGCCCGGCATGGCCAGGTGGTTAAGGCGCTCGACTGAGGGTCGCGGTTCGAATCCCCGTCCCACCAAACATGCTCGCCCTTTCAGCCGTGGGAACGTTATAATGTGACGGTCAATCCCACTATTCGTTGGTAAACGAGTAGCCCAAGAGTTGGCGGTGGGTGGTGATGACTAGCTGCCTTCCCTCTAGTCTTACACTGCTAAATTAGGGACGGCTAGCGCAGATAGCCCTCGTGTAGCTTTGCGCGAAATTCAAAAAAACAATCTCTACTGAGATATATATACAATAAAGCGAGACCCACATGCCACGCCCCTTCTATCACATCTTATCTTTCAAAAAATGTCAGTAGTTCTTTTCCTGACATTTGCTATTAGGTTATTTATAACTACTAGAAAGAGAAGTTTCTTTATTTAATAAATTTCTATGAAGCTAGATCGTTTGAATGAAGATTTTGAAAAGTGTGATTTCGTTTTCATTATTTGCCGTAGTTGGAGTTATGTTGGACCAAGTATCGGAATTATTTTAACCCATTTGAAACTTAGTTAGAAAGTCAGTTAAATTATAGTAGTTTTAGAATGTTACGTATTAGAATTTCAAATAGCCTGAAATTGAGTTAAATGATACT